AAAAAAATAAATAAACGTTAAAAAAAAAAAAAAATTTAAAAATTATAAACAATCTAAGTCTCCAAGAGAAAACTGGAAAAATTATTCTACTCATAGTACAATACTATTTGGCACTGAAAATCAGGGATTTAGAACAGGGCGGGCAAGCCATGGCCCGTGGGTCAAATCCAACCTGCAGCTTGCTTTCACATATCCAAGGAGATAAGAGTGGTTTTCATATTTTGAAGGGGCGTTAAAGACAAAACAAAACAAAACAAAAAAAACACACACAAAAAACCAAGACTAGGGAACAGAGATCATAAAATGGCTCACAAATCCTAAAATAATTACAATCTGGCCCTTTATGAAAAACTTGCCGACCCCTCCTGAATCGCACAAAGGCAATGCCAAAAGAAAAAAGCAAGGTGCAGAAAAAAACAGGCAAGGCATCGTTTATGGACAATCTGTAAACCATATACATTTACATACAGTGAAAGCGCAAGGCTCCCAAACAACAGAGAATTCATCCCAGCGGGTATGGGGGAGGGTGGGATACACAGTCAGGACAGGTCCACAAAAGGCTCGAACTTCAGTGTGCCTGTCAGGTTTTACTTCTGGTCAGATGCTGGGAGGCTGGGTGTCTGCTGCATCATCCTTTGTACCTTTGTGTACATTTAGAAGATAATATATTTTAAAGTATGCATCAATATTCTTCACTTTCAAACAGCAACTGGCCGGTCTGCCTACGTCCTTTTCAGAGGAACGTGCCGTCAGAGCGGCCGCACCACACCCACGATTCCAGGGTAAAAACGGATCAATTTTAGAAGCATGTTTATTTTGGAAAGTAAAGCAGGTGGAGAAAGAGGAAGGCTCAGATGACCGGGCTGTGGTTTCAACCTGACGTTTCAGGAAGTCTGGTTACCCCTGAACAGAAGAATGCTTAGTGGCCACGCTACGCTTTCTTGGGTGTTTGTGAAAAGCACTGAACGCCGCACCAGGTTTCGTGGTGGTATCGGCATTCCCGAGTTCCGTCGCTAGCTATAACAGAGCGTAAGGATACACAGTTTCGTCAGTTAGAAGCAAGAGTTCAGCACATGAGGCCACTCTCAGGGAAAGCTGCCCCAAGTATGAGCAAGTCATCAGGAATGTAGCTTAAGTAGTTGTGGGAATCAAACCGGTAAGCACAAGGAATCAACACTGTTTCACAAGCAACTTCTAAGTGGGATGAATGCTTGGGCAAAAATTAATCTAGCAGACAACGGAGGCAAATCCTGAAGGGAGTCTGGCCTCTCTTGAAATCCATTTGGAACACTTATGCAAATTGCAGTTGTTGTGAAAATATTAAAACAAAAGCGAACTTTCAATAGCCCAGCCTGTTTCCATTTTCGTGAAACAACTTTATTCATTTTGCCAATTTATGGCCTCACATCTCTGTCACCGGAATGAAAAACAATCATTATTGATTGGAGTCAAAAGGGTAATAAAGTCACAAGGAACATGCCAAAATACTCAGTTTGTGACATGAAAGTCTTGCCAACTTGTTTCTTCCCACAATCCTACCCCAAAGAAAGTCATCGCAATCTTAAAACAGTCAAGGGGAAAGTCGCAACATGACAGCGAGGGCATGAGAAATTCACACACACTGGGACCGACAGCTGGCATCTACCCCTGGACCAGCTGGTTCCTTTTTTCTACTACACCAGCTCTACCGGTCCAGACCGGCTGCACAGAGAGGCCACAGCACCACCGCATGCCAACAGGTAAAGTCTCTTTCTGAACGTCCACAAGGGAGAAGCTGCTTTTGTCACTAAGATTGGCCGAAGGGCCCCACCTGTATGTATGAAACAAAGGTTCGTGTAATCCAAGTCTATACAGATCATACTGTTTTAAGAGGCTTCTAATTTTGGTCACCGCTACCAATGTTGCAACTGCTCATCCCTACCCCCGTGACCTCTGTCATGTACCCCACACCGTTTATGCACTAGAAAGAAAGGAAGGGAAGGGAAGAAAGGATCACATAGTCAGAAGTCAGAAAAAGAGGCAGGCATCGCAGAATGCCAAAAGGACGACTTAGTTTGCCTGAAGGCAAACTTAGGGTTAAATGAACTGCATTTCTTTATTACCACTTCATGGTTGCTGGACCAGGCTACAAGGAACTGCTGAAATGAAAAGGAATTTTCTGAGAATTTTTAATAGGACTCCGACAAAGCTTTCACGGAAGCTCTAAGGAGTATCGCAATTGAGGGAGTTTTATCAGCTCCATCCAGGAAGGGGCACTGATAAGTTGGGTAATTGTGCACAGGTCGTTTCTCCAAAGGAAGGAGAGAAAGGTCATGGGCATCCGTTCCCTGTGGGTTCCTGACTAACTGCAGAATTACTATGGCAATGAATTTCTGAGCAAACCCGAGCACTGCGTTGCTAATTTTTCATTTAGCATGTCCTGTGGTCTGACAGCCATGTTACCCTAATTTAACCAGTCTTTTGCAAATTTAAAATAATATTATTAATATCAAGTTACAGTATTGTTGTTTTATACAGGAAAGAAGCAAGTGTCCAAAACAGACTTAACTGAGTCAACTAAAAAAATAAATAAAAACTTGGTGGTAATCATTTTGCAATAAATGAGTATCTCAAATCAACACAATGTATTCCTTAAATTTACATAATGTTATATGTCAACTATATCTTATTAAAATCAGAAAAACAAAAACAAATGAAATACTAAACAAACGAACCAATTAATAAATAAAACTAACAAAATACTGGCAGAAAGCACACTTCCAGGTCTTTACACTTATAGGTATGAAGTCAAACTGACACAGCCACAAATTTAAGTTCTATCCAAGACCATCAGAATTAATTACTTACTGATATGATTATCTGCTTCACAAGCTTAGTATCATCAATACAATCAAATGCCGCCAATAAGACCAAATGGGAGTACTGGCCCTGTAAGAAAGGGAAGCCAGGAAAGGTTAGAAACATGTACAGCCTCTCCCCTTTAGTATACCCCTGGAGTCACTTTATAAAGATTATCAACCCAAAGACTATCTAAAGTGATAGAAACAAGACAGATAAAAGCCATTCAAAGGAACTTCCTCTCTTATCAGGACCTAGTTAATGATATTCTAGGTTGATTACAAGAAACAAAGAAAAGCAAAAGCACATTCTTCAGTATCAAATAGGCGAGACTCACTTGTTTTTTAACCAGGATGTAACACCTCTCAAAAATAAGTATCCTGTTAATAAATTACTACTTGAAATTAAACTCAAAAAGTTCAAGTGGAAGTGGGAAAAAAACCCCAAGAATGTAGAACTACGTATATATAATATCAATCATGAAAAAGAAAGTATAAATACACATGTGTACATAGAAAATCCTGGAAGGAAGGACACTGTAATAGTTTCATTTTCTTTTGTATATTGTCTAATTTCTTTCTTTTTTTTTAACGTTTATTTATTTTTGAGACAGAGAGACAGAGCATGAGGAGAGGGAGACACAGAATCCAAAGCAGGCTCCAGGCTCCGAGCTGTCAGCACAGAGCCCGACGCAGGGCTCGAACTCAAACTGCCAGATCATGACCTGAGCCGAAGTCCGATGCTCAACCCACTGAGCCACGGCGGCGCCCCTAGTGTCTAATTTCTTTAAAATAATCCTGTTTAATTAGAATAGAAACACTAAAAAAATAAACTAAAAAAATATATTTATATAATGAATATGAGAATTAGGTAAAAATAACCGCTTTTAATATAGCAGCACAAGATCAAAACATGTCCGTGGTGACTTAAAGGTCACCTCTTGAAATAAGAGAATTACTTCCGCGATGCTGACACTGTTCCAAAGTTTAAGAACTTCTACTTTATGAAAAAAAGCATTTTCATAGTTTGTGGCATATTCTTTTTGTATCCTAGGTAATGATATCAATCATTTTTACTTGGAAAGGGTATGTGACTTCTGAAAATACTCATTCAGAGCCACGTATAAAGAACATGGCAGGTAATAATGTTTCAGTTAGAAACTAACCAGAGAGGGATGCCTGGGTGACCCAGTGGGTTAAGCTTCTGACTCTTAATTTTAGCTCAGGGTCACGATCTCACAGCCATGAGATCGAGCCCCATATAGGGCTCCATGCTGAGCATGAAGCCTGATTAAGATTCTCTCTCCCTCTCTTTCTACCCCTCTCCCTTGCTCACACACACACTCTTTCTCAAAATAACTAAACATTAAAAAGAAAAAACTGGAGAAAACTGACAAAGTCTAACATCGTTACCATAAAGACCAACACTACTAAAAATGGGCAAAGAACATAGTTCACAGAAAACATGGGACAGCTGGCTTTAAGCATAGGAAATAATACTCATTAATTAAGGACAATAATTAAAACAACGAAATACCATTTTCCACCTATCATATAGGCAAAAGTGAAAACTCTTGCTAATATACTAACTTGACAAAGGTTTGAGAAAAACAGGCGTGCTGGTCACTGATGAGAATGTACAGTCATTCGACTTCTTTGAAAAGCCAAGTGACAACATTCATAAAAACTTTAAATGCACATACTTTCAGATCCAGCAATTCTATCTCCAGGCATTTATCTTCCGCAAAGGCACAAAGGGCATGTCCTTTAGCACTACTAGAAATAACAAAAAACTAGAAACTACCCAAGTATCCCACAGTAGGGCCTGGTTAACTGAGTTACGGAAGTCCTATAATGAAACACTATCCGGTCATTAAAAAGAACGAGGGAGGTACAAAGTGTGTGTGTGTGTGTGTGTGTGTGTGTGTGTGTGTGTGTGTGTGTGTAGAAATAAAAAGACCCTGAGGTGAATTAAGAGAAGCAAACAAAGCATAACAATGTGTACACAGCACACAACCACCAGTCTCTGATTTTTAAGTCCCACACACAGAAGCATGCCCACATACACAGTATCTCTGGGTGAATACAAAAGAAACTGGAACAGAACGTCAGTGACAAAAAGACACCTCTACAATTACAGCTGGAGATTTTTAATACACTTTTCTCAGCACCTGATGGAAGCAGCCAAGGAGAAACAGATCAGTAAAAACACTGATGAGATGAACAACGCTGTCAACCACCCTGATCTGACCTTTATGGAATACCACACGCACCAATTCCACAAAACAAACTCTCCTCAAGATCCTGTGACAGACCACAGGCCAGGCCACAAGATGATAAGTCTTTATACGCGTAAAAGGACTGAAATAAGAGAGTATGTCAAGAATCCCCAATACGTGGAAAATTAAACATGTCTAAATAACCATAAATTAAATCCATGGGCAGTTACTAGTTTATCTCCTCTCTTTAGAAGCAACTCCGTGGGATAAAAAAGGCACTGCGCTGTCCATTTCTTGTTACTATCATAATGCCTTGCTGGGATCAGGTTCTCCAAAACAAAACAAACACAAAAACCCCAAAACTGTTTATACAACTGTAAAATTAAAACAAATCTAATTTTATTATTTAAGAATGTGTTTTACTTTTGGGGCTACCTGGGTGGCTCAGTCGGTTAAGCATTAGACTCTAGATTTCAGCTCAGGTCATGAACTCATGGTCTGTGGGTTCGAGCCCTGCATCGGGTTCTACACTGACAGGACAGAGCCTGGTTAGGATTCTCTCTCTGTCCATCCCCCCCCCCCTCACTCTCTCTCTCAAAAAGAGAGAAAGAAAGAAAGAAAGAAAGAAAGAAAGAAAGAAAGAAAGAAAGAAGGAAGGAAGGAAGGAAGGAAGGAAGGAAAGAAAGAAAGAAAGAAAGAAAGAAAGAAAGAAAGAAAGAAAGAAAGAAAGAAATGTCTTTTACTATTAATACCTTTCAGAATTTTCTACTAACATTCGGTTTTTACTCATTTCTAATTTAAAATATTCAAATTAAAATGTTAGAAGATTTACTTCACGATGAAAAACAAACAGTAAAATCTCATATGTTGGAAACAACTCACTAGAGAATCTTTGCTTTCATTTTGTTACAGAAAAGTTAGCTGCCTTACATGGACTTATACTCCCTCCCCGGTCTCCAGCTGCGAACGTCCATAGGCACAGAGTGCCAATTTATCGGTGTCCAAAGTGGCCACCAGCTGCTATGAGTTCTCTTTGCATTTTTCATAGGATACAGTTGTTGTGGCCAATTTTAGTTCCCTAGTAAATCAGAAGCTTTAACATATGTTTGCTACTATGTATATTCTAGAAATACTATGGAAAACTAGTAAGTATTTAAATACATGGAAATACTATCATTCGAGGCGATTAATCTCTCTGGAAAAAACTTTTCATACCCTCTATGATTTCATGAGGAGAGCTTTTATAGCATCTCCAAAGGGTTCCAAAGAACTACAAAACTTAACAACTGGAATTTTCTCTGCTGACTTTACAAATTTATTCTAGACAGTAATTTCTGCATTTAATAACATAAATGGACAGATTCATTAAAGAAGTTAAATATCAGGACTTCAAAAATATCTAATAAAAATGGAAAGTTGTCACAGTATGAAATTAAATGCAAAAAGGAGAAATCTCATTTAGTATAAACTTAATGCCATAAAAAGGCAGATGCACAGAAAGAGATTGTACTAAAATAATGAATAATTGTCTTGTTGGCAATTTTCTGAAGTTTTCAAATTTTCTACAATAGATGTGATTTCATTTTATTAAAAATAAAAAAAAAAGACAAAAAGCAAACAAAAAATAACAGAAATTGTACTTTTCTTATACTTACATTAGCCACCTTTTCAACATAAGTCTTCATTGTTTTCACAATCACTTTCCTGTCCTTAAAAGAGAAAAGTTAATTTGTCTTACAACTTGTAGTTATGGATTAAAAACTACATGGCCAAAAATGTCTAGAATGCTAAATTTCCACCAGTCTGGCACACTTTTCTCATGAGTGAAAACAGGTACGTGGCCAGAACCAAAAACACGGCAATGTACTTTAAGTCCTTCCAGAGCTATTCCAATCCTATTAGACCTGTACGTGACAATCCATCGTGACCTAAGTACGGAACCCTAAAGTTATTAGCTGTGAGGCAAACCCAGTGGAAATACCTTCTTTTACAGGGAGAATGGAGAGATCTCTTTCAGCATGTGAACGGACTGGAAATGCGTAAGGGTGTAGCATACAGACGGTATTCAATACTTACTGGTTCACCAGAAACTCAAGTGGTATTCATTTAAAAAGTGGGCAAAGCACAACACTTTTACAAGACAAAATTATACTGATCAAGGAAATGTGGATCATTTCGTGTTAAACTCCTGCAACTAACACGGATCTTTACCTCATCCCTCAAAGTACTGAACACCCACGAGAGCATCATCTCACGTGTTCATCATCTCCTCCTGCCTCTCCCTCCCCCCACTAAGATCACTGAATGAGGAATCAAAGAACCTGACAGGTACCAAAACTTCTATACGGGTAAGCCTGATATATATATTGTTTCTACTTGCTTGACAGGTACCTTCCCAAATAAAGACAACTCAAGCTTTTTGTACTTTAATGAAAACTCCAACAGAGAAACACTAGGCCCTAAGAAAATCCAATTCCTGGGAGGCCCTGAGGCTCAACTTTGCAAAGATAATGTTGATACACATCAGGGCAAAGACCAAAGGAGCGGGAGAGTGGAGGGGAAGGCGGTTCAAGCCGCGAGCGACACACTCACCTTGGGCGTGCCGTGCCACAGGCAGTGCATGGCCACTCTGGCGCCATCGTGTGTGTGTGCCAGGTATATTACCGCCTCGCGGATGGCTTCGATCATTTCCTGGGGAACAAACGCCACCATGGCTTTATTTTGTCCTTTCCTCCTGCCTTTTTAAAATCTTCTACTGAGAACCAGTTATACACAGAGAATCACAGAGAGTAGAGGTGGAGAACAATTTCATTTTTAATCGTATAGAGACGCGTGCAGAAAACACAACCTTTTCCTACGCCTCTTTTTCGCCATCGAGGGCAGTGAATACCGGTGGTACGCGATTTCTATTAAAATACCCGAGGAGTTTTACCAATATCTATTCAGAAAAGTATGTATGTGTGTTGTATATTCTAAAAGATTTTTCAAGAAAAATAAAGCTACGAAGTGGCTGTAGAAGGAGGGAGTTTTTAATAGTAAAGCCAGATAAAAAAGATACAATATTATTCCCTAAAACGGTCGTGTGTGTAATGAGCAGAAAACAAAACACTAATCTGGGCTGAAAAAGTTTCTCTTTTTCAGTCTGTCACTGGATTACTTCTAGAAATCATTTTCGTAATTCACCGTAAAAACACTCAACTGATACTTCCCTAAGAATAATGAGTCTGTTAGACTAGGTCCTCATTTATCAATGACCCCTTTAGTAAAATCCTAATTATTAATGTCTTACAAGGTAATTTAGCGTATTTTTAATCTTTCTGCATGGTCAATGTACCTAATTTCTTAATTGTATCTGGGAAGCCTAGCACATAGAGGTAAATGAGTTCCGACAGTTCTGCTAGGCCCCACGTTAGTCTGTTCCCGACTTAAAAATTTATATTAAATAAATAAAACATATACAAAGTCTCCGACCAGGAAAGAGACTATTTTCTTCAATAAGAAATACGTCATTTCATCCGTAACGATTTTGTAATCTTATCCCAGGATGGGTCCCAGAAATACAGCGCTCAGCTTACATATCTAAACTTATGAATCTATTCAAAGCTATCCAGTTGGAGAGTTAATGCCCCCAGGGCCAGGGAAGATTTGTCCCATTACTGTACATTCACACCAAGTTCCCAATGATGTTCTGTGATTAATACATTCAACACTAAAAAATAAATAATAATGACAAAGATTTTCCACCACTGACTATATTCCAGTGCTCATATTGTCGTATCTCAAAATACTGTCCCGCCTTAAAATATCCAGGACTGTGAGATACTGTGCCCTGCAGAAAAGAGAGAAATCCCCAAAAGTGAAGCAGCACCTGCTACAGTCGTTGAACCACAAGCTGAGGTGAGCAGCTTACTCTTGGAAAATTCTCTTCTCTATGCCAACTTGTGAGAGGGTCAAAATTCCTATGAATGTTTAATCTGGCGTATTTGTTAAAAAGCAGTCAGGGTTATTATTTTAGTTACCCCTTACTAATAAAATGAGGACGAATGGGCAATGTGGTCACGGTTTGATGAGGCAAGCAAAGTTCAGGGCAGTAAATGATGAATTCTCATTTGTATTCCCATCGCTGACCTGAAGGGCAGTACAAATTACCTTCCCTCTCTGTTCCTTACCTTCTATCATATGAGGTCCAGTCTCTCATGGTCCATTTAGTTTTACGTGAGTGTCCTCCCCTAACCTTTTCACGTTGACGTGAATTTTGTATCAGCCTGGGTGAATTTCAAACTACTTGAATGCCGAGTATCTATCCGTTAATTTTCAGTGTGGTTAGCTGGAGGACTGGCTTATAATTAAAGTAAGTATCTGGCTTATAATTAAAATATAAAAACCCAACAAAATTCATAAAACTACAGTCAATTCCACAGTCTTCTGGCAAATTTCTAAAGGGAATTGGTAGACTCGTTCAAAGGGAGTTTAGTGCCTTATCTTCTCTAAATAAGGAAACAACTCTTTAAAATTTCCAAAAGACAATGTCCATTAAAGCAGTGTTTTACATTTTAATGTGGCTCTTCCTCTATGTTTGGTTTAAAAACTAAAGGCAAGAACTTACTGATCTTAGCTTGGCAGGTGCGTAGGTAAAGAAGTCCAAGAATACTTTATGCACCAATGAGTGCTTAATCACAGCTTCCCTGAAAGACAGACAAGGAGAAGAGAATATGTCAGATCTGGCACTACAATAATAGGGACACAGATAACCTCAGTCGTCCTAAAATACTCAAAGTAAGTAAAATGGTTTTAGAAAATGTTGTCTGTCACAGGCAGAGTGCATCTTTTCAGTAATACACTAAGAATTAAAAACGACAACAACAACAACAACAAACTTTTAGATGATAAAAATCTTTTAGTGTCGTCCACTAGAACCAAAACCAGAGCACAAATGTCCAGTATCTCTAGAGGAAATCATCATTCCAAATAACTTTCTCCCATCTTCAATAAGGACATCTACATTTTCTTACCCAACAATGGACTTGTGATTAGGAATCCTTATGTGCATCTATTTTTTTATAGCTATTTTCTTTCTGTCAAGCACCCTTCACAACGCTTAGTTTCATAAAATAATCCTAGCACAATTAAAACATGAATAGAAGGAAACAGTATCAGTGACCTCAACAACACCGAATCGATCTAAGCTTCTTAGCGCGACACGTGCTGAATTCAGACGTACGGTGGAAGCTCACGGTCAAGGCACCAAAGACCTGGAGCTGATAAGAAGTATCTACGCAGCTGGCAAACACATGTGGCCTTTATGGGCAAAGCACTGCTTCTGAGTGTTTTGGAAATATTAACCCATTTAATCTTCATAATCCTCCTCGGAACGTGTACTACTATTATCCCAAATCTTGTAGATGTGGAAACTGAGGCACACAGAGGTTAAGTTATTCAACGTCACAGCTAAAAATTGAGGGGGGCACCAGGATTCACAACCAGGCAGTTTGGGTCACAAAGGATACCCCTTAACTACTCCACTATGGTACAAACTCCAGGGAGGCCATATGCCTGAGCATCTAAGTTTTATGATCCAATTCAAATAATTGAATCTATTTGGGTAACTATCTACCTTTCCTCTGCAAGGGTTATAGAACAATTTCTTCCTTCGAATGCCATCTGTTAAGAAAAGACAAAAACAGCTTTCTTACTTTTGGGCCATTGGAGTTAGAATCTGCTTCATTTCATCCATGATAAGCTCTAGCTTTTCGGGCTGTACCTCTAATACTTTGTCCAGAGTTGGGTGATCCATAGACTGCAATGAGAAAAAAAAAAAAAAATTAAACTCCTTTAAATTTAACCGAGTTTCTTCAACATCACAGCAAAGACAAATCAATTATAGTTATTTTAAATAAACTCAATATAAATTTTCGATTTCCCATATTCACATAACGAACGCCCCGCTGTAGATACCCCCACAGAGTAACCTGATTTTCTGGTTCCCACTCTATACACCCATCAATGTATTTAAACAACCGTCCAAATCAGCCAGTCAACAGGCACCTTACCTAGCACGTACTTCATCGTAAGATCAGGTAGTCAGCTCACAAATTCTTGCCACCATGGATATTCCCAGAGTGACGGTTACAAAAGAAACGAGCTAGGAGCTGGACCTGACTGGGGAAAGCAATCTCTGGAGAGAGATGGGTGCATTTAGGTCCCAAGGTCTGAAATAGACCTTTTCATCGTCCTAGTCCCCTTATTGGCCTCTAATGGATTCAACCCTGTACCGTGCCCAAGGCTGGTTCTCTCTACTCCCTTTCCTCCCTGGATTCCACCTAGAGAAGGACAGTCCACACACAGGAAGAAACACAGAAGGCAGCTACAGGGAGCCCGATACATGTGAGCCCGAGCTGGTTAGGGGGTGGTTACAAAGCTCTGCTAACTATGAAGAGACCTCTACCTCAGTCCAGCAGAAACGGATGTCCTGAAGCATTACGCAGGGAACTCGGGAGAGAGGAACAGTGCAGTCTAATTTAAAGGGGATTCAGACATCGTGCCCCGGAAGAAAGGGAAATGGAAGTCTGATCATTTGCTCATCACACCAGAGACAAAATAATCCAAGAGAACGAAGGGTAGGAGAATCTCTTAATGGACCAGACAAAGCAGAAATAGAATATTCTGAGACCAGGGCACTGGAACGTCACCTTGTAGAGCTGAAACGTGTTCCCGTAGAGCTCCTCCGTCAGCATGTTCCTCTGCTCCAAGACGGCCCTGTCATTGTAGGCATACTCCACAATGGAGGACGCCTCCGCGTGCCGCAGCATCTTCCTCACGTGCCCTTTGAAACTTCTCATGATCTCTGCAATCTGCGGCTTACTCCTAAAGCCAGGGATGGTGGGAGAACATCAGCAACAGGAGGAGGAAGTGGGGCGGCCACAAAACCCAACTTCTCCTGAAACCGGCCCATTAGAACACGGGGCAGCCCACCTGGGGCAGGAGAGCCACC